GGGAGCGGGGCTCCCGGCCCCCCAGGACCCGGCACCGCGTCCGGCTCACCTGCCCGCCCTGGCGGGGTGACCGACCGACTCGTCTCCCCGACCGGCGGCTTCGGGCTCTGAGGCTCCCACACCAAGGTCAAGGCCACCAGGAACCTCCCGGGTTCTGTCCGGGCCCGGAGCCTTCTGTGGGGATGTTCCACCTCCGAGAGTGAGTCCACCCAGCCCACACCGGGCCTGGAGCCGTGCTTGCCCCGAGCTGCCGCCCCAGACCCGAGTGCGCCCCCCGCACTCGGGCCTCAGGTCGGAGGCCTCATGTGTGCCAGCTCCGAGGCCGGGAAAGAAGCGGCGCCCCCGCGGGCCCGAGTCCCCCACACCACGTGCTTGTGGCCTGTTTGTCCCCCAAAGGAGAGATAATAAGAGATCGGGGCACGACGGCCCATTCCGTTGAGGTTTTTGTTGACTGGTCCAGTTGAGATCGGCGTGAAGGGCAAAAAGGCTTCCAAGGTCAGGCGGTAAGGTGGACAGCTTATCTCGCAGGTGCCTGGTCAGCCTTCCCAGCCCCCGTGGAAATCCTTAATTTCAGCCCTCGGGTTGTGCAGGGAACAGAGCTAGCCATATCTGGCCCTCCGAGCTAAAGCCAGCTTAGGAGTATGTTGTCACTACATGGCAACTTGTAGGGTGACCATAACAGCTGTCATGAAAAGTGCTTCCTGCCTGCAGGACCACCATTGCCAAGTGGCCATTTTGCCTTATTTTATCTCCTTGCGTTCTCAGGTGAGCCCCCCGGTCAGGTATTAATTAAGGTGACCCTTGGGTCAGTTGAGGAAAAGGCTTGGGGCTATGAAGTAACTTGCACCAGGGCCTGAACTGGACCCTCGGCTGTCAGACTCTGGGGCCCAGCGCTTGACTCTAGACTGTGCTACCACCTTGGTTTACCAGTTAGTCCTCAGATGGCAGAGCTGCAGGTCCTGGGCACCCACATAACCCCTCAGAGGTGTTAGCTACCTATTTATGATGAAAATAGCCCGTGAATCACTTTTTGTTAGCCACAGATCTTGGTGAGCTGCCCCAGTGCCCCCGAGACTCTTGTTCCCATTTGCGACTACAGCGGCGAGGTTTGGGGCTGTGGCTTCTTTGCCCTGCGGTTTCTTCGCCTTCGAAGGAAGCCAGCTGGCAAGTCGTTCTTTCCGTTTTCTCTCGTTCTCGAAGCAAAGCAATGAAAACAGCTTTTCTGAAACCAGCCTTTCTTACACTCACTTGTCATCAGTCTGGTTTATCAGCACTGAGCAGCCATTTATTAGGCGTCCCGAACCACCAGCAGCTGCAAATCAGCAAAGAAATCGAGAATAAAAGGCTCGGCCAGGGTCGTAGGTAACCATTTGTCGAAGGAGTGTAGGACCTGTCATGTATTGGGCTGTGGGGAGGGAGCCAAAGGAAATGTCTTGCCTACAACACTCACTCTCCCTAAGGAGCGAAGGCACCTCCGTGTTTTGGCTATTCGCGAATTCCGTAGGCACGAGGTACTCTGCGTTGCCTTTCTGGACAAATTCAGCGAGATGCCAGCAGGCATGACATCCAGGTTTCACCTCAGGATCTTGTTAGAAATGAAGGTGATGTGTGGGCTTGATATTTCTGGGATGTTTTTGTGATATTTGATATTTGATATTTCTGGGATGTTTTATTTCAACCTGAAGTTGAAATAACATAGCTTGGTTGGAGAAAAACTAGAAGGAACTGGCATTCTTTCACGTGAGGTCAGGAGAAGGTAGCAACACCTGTTTTCGAGCTTGTCATCAGTTCCTCCACTTGGTGTCTTGTCAGTGCGCGGGGAGGCCAGCGCTGCTCCAGGGGAACGTCCCCGGGCTGCAGAAGGTGCCGCGAAACCTTTTCCTAAGGAATCGCAGGCGGAAGCAACCTGACCCCAAGCCGCGGGTCTTGTTTAAAAATTATAGACACGATACATGATTAAAACAATTGGAACAACTGGGGAGTCGCCCTCCCCAGATTCCAGTCGTCATCTTCCTGGCCATACTCCAGAGAGCGAGGCAGCAGGCAGCCAGGCTCGTGTTCTGGCGGTCCTCACCGCCGCCTCCGCACGGTCCCGCTTCCTGTTGCAGAGCAGGGCCGGTCCCACTCCGCGTGGACGGGAGGGAGCCGCCCTTCATCGGTGGGGCGCTCGGAGCGGCTGTCGTCCCTGCCAGAGGCAGCATCAGAGGCCAGAAATGACTGAGCTGAGATTTTCCAGAATGTATCAGGAGAGAGGGTTGAGATAGAAATTTCCTTAACTTTACGTTTTTTAGAAACAGTTGAGTGGACACACTTCAATCTGTCCCTAATTAATTGGCTGGTTCCTAGCTTATGGCAGCACATGACCTTTGAAAGAGTTTTCTTTGTATTCACAGCATACAGTGCCTAGAATCCACGGTCCCGAGCCATTTAACCTTAAAGGAGCCAGCCCACTCCGACTGTAAGCACTTTTTGAAAATAGGTATGAAGTAAAACATAAAACTTAAGCAGCAGCGCTCTTGTCTGTGACCCGACGTGGACCCCCGCCGGGTCGTCCTTCCACACCGCGTGCCTGGGCGCTGCCGGCCCCGCCTTCCCTTGGAAAGGGGGTCCCCGCGAGGACCCTGGTGTCGGGCACCTCACTCCTGAACGCATGTGGCATTGTCCAGGTTTCTCTGGCGGCAGGTTACTCCATGGGGTGGGGCTGCTGGCCCTGCTGCACAGATCTGGGGAGCAGCACCCCCACCTCCCAACCAGGACAGCTCAGCCCCTGGCGAACTGAAAAGGCCGGACCGGAGGGTGGTTGAGTTTTAAGGAGGGATCTAGAGGTGGACTGAGGGCACTGGTCAGTGAGCTTGCCAGCCCCTGGGTGCTGTTCAGGTCTGGCCCTGATAACAATCCCCCCGCGTGATCTCCCATGCAGGCCCAGCGTCTGTGCCCCTCGCCAGGCGTGGACCCTTTGCTCCACTTTCTTTGCCGTTGACCTGTAGTGACAGGTGTAGCGTACCAAGCCCTTCCCGGGAGCCAGGCACGCGCTGTATCGGGGGTTGGCCCGTATGTGAGCGTGATGTGAGGTGTTCAGGCAGTCGTCACCATTTCTTGGATTCTGGCAAACACAGTGTTGCTTATTGAAAAGGGACAGGCGTGGCCACGGGAGCCCGGAGCCCGGTCTGGGCCTGCCGCCCAGCTGTCAGGGAGACTTGTCCCCAGCTGTGCCTCAGCCTAGGTTGAGGCTTCCTGCACTCTCAGAACGCCCCTTCCTACAAGGTCTTAACTTTGACTTGGGGCCTCCCAGAAGCTGGGCTGAGCAGGAGAGGCTGACGCGCACCAGGGGTCATGCAAAAGAGAGTGGGAGCCAGAGAGCCACGCTCAGCCATGGTCCGGCTGGGGGAGGGTGCCCAGCCTTGTCCATGGGTGCGGGAGGTCTGGGGGCGACTAGGAGAGCACCCAGCGGCCGGCTTGTGTCTTCTCACACCAGCGGGCTCACTGGATCGGTCCCAGAAGCCTGAGCCCCAACTCCTGGAGTGGTGAGGCCTCATAGGGGCTGGAGGAGGACGCTCGTCACCCCTCCTTTATGGTTCAGGAAGGGGGGCGAGGTGGCTGTAGCTAGTTCCACGCAGCAGGCTGCCAAGGCCGCGGAATCCAAGCAGACCTGGGGCACTTCCTGCCTCGGTTAAACTTAAAAATGTGGTTTTAATGTCCAGGAAGGTGACTGCTGCCGCTCTGCTTTGGTCATTTCAAGCCATTACGCCCTGAAAATGCAAGACTCTGGTTCCATATTATCAACCAAAATACCTCCTGGTCTGCTTTGAAGAAGAGATTTCAGTGGAAAACGTTCCTGTTTGCTGGAAGCTGGCCCTAGGCACGTGGAGGGCGTGTTCCTCGAGGCTGGGCCGTTCACTGTTTACTTGTGTGACTTTCGCTTTCATTTTAGACCCCACCTGCTGGAGGGTTAAGACAATAAACAGCTGAGTAGACAAAGTAATGCAAACCCTGGGCCTCCTGGTTAGGGCTCAGCACCACCAGGGCATCACCGCTACAGCCTAAGTGCTAGCCTGAGTCCGTCCCCGCCAGGGAGTGACCCCTAGGCCGCAGCAGGCCTCTCCTGCGTCCCCGCTGCTCCCTCAGCAATGGGTTCCAGTCCATCGGCCTGCTCTGCTCCCCACTCTGTCTGGGGAGTCCCCTCGGCCCTACCCCTGCACCTCTGGCCTGCGCCCCTGCTCTTCTGTGCATAAGTAAGTAAATCTGGACAGCAATGTTGATGCGAGCCCTAGAAAGGGGCACACATTCAGGTGCAAGCCCCACCGGCCAGTGCTGGCAGGAGCCAGAACATTCTGGACAGCAAAATGCCACCAGCCAGCAGAAGCCCGATGGAGCAGGCAGCTGTAACCGACAGATGGGCGTGCCCGAGCAAAAGTATGGGGTCTGGCTTTTAGGGGGAGACAGGCCAGACCTTGATGTGGAGTCAGGGCCGACTTCGGCCTGACCAGGAAGAGGCCGGCCCTCGCCCAGCCTCTGCTTTCCTCACACTGGCTTTGTGTCTCAAGGGCGTCAGCGGAGCGCAGGGACATGACCAGGAAGAGAAATGGAGAAAGGAAGGGGGGGGAACTGACGCCCTTGGAATGACCCTGACGAGGAGTCCAGGTTTTTCTCCTCTGGACCCTTTGTTCTCGTCAGTTGTGATGGGGGTGTGGGGGCACAGACCCCCCCCCCCCGCCCTTAAACCTCCAAGAGCGCTTGGCCCTTCCTCTGTTCTTTCTGACTGGGGTCTGGCATCACTGGTGCCTGTTCCAGCTGGGCCCACATGGCCGTGGCAGGGTTGCAGGGTGCCGGATGTGGCTCAGAGGAGGCGGCGTGGGTCCTGGCTGTGGTCAGCCCCCCGTGCACTGTTCACTCATGACCGGCCCCCTCCGGAGTCCGCCCTCCTAGGGTGACTCCTGACAGGCACCAGCATCGGGGTGAGGCAGGGTGGGGGTGACTTGCACTGCCCTTGCTGGGGAGCGCCTCTGCGTGCTAGAGGGTGAAGGGCCAAGGGCGAGCGGGGGCTGGGACACTTCCCAGCGCCTGACTGGGGCGCCCGGCCATGGTTCGTCACCCCTAAGGTAGGGCAGTAATCTGGCTCGCAGGACTGCGGCCACGCGCCCGGGCTGGCTGGGTCGGGTCTGTACCATGCAGAGCGGGTGACACTGGGCTCCTCGCAGGTCAGGACCGTCAACAGGTGAACCAGAGGGTGCGCGCCAGCCCCTGGCCACACTGGCTGTTCATTCCTCGCCTGCTTTTTTTCGGGTCCAAGGGCCGGACCAGGTCACCCCATGTCTTAGACCGCCCCTCAGTTCATCTTTCGGACCCCACTGGCCCTCGCCTTTTGCTGGTAACGTGGTCTGAAAGTGCCTGGGGGAACATCTGGGAACCACTTCCACCTGCGGCTGTCTGGTGGCATTTTGCTGTCAAGAATGTTCTGGGTCACTGCCCACCTGTGCAGCGCCTGGGGCCCCACACCTGCCCGGTCCCTCTGCTTGGTGGCTCAGCTTCGCCCTGCCCGCCGCCAGCTCCCCCAGCCCACACATCGAGCAGGCGTCTCGGCAAAGCAGCACACCTGAGGCCTGTGAGCCTGTGCGCCCCCAGCCTCCCTTCGGGACCCCACCCCGCTGCCCTCGCCAGCCCTGCCGCAGGCTGCGACCAGGCACTCGCGGCCGCCTCGTCTGGTGGGCGAGGGTCGCCTCTGGGCTTGCAGCTGCTGCGGCCCAGGTGTGCCAGACTCGCGCCTGCATTGGGAGCCGGGGTGCGCTGCCCTCCAGGCCCGGCCGCTTCCTGGGGCCTTTGCCCGCAGCTGCCTTGGCCGCCCCTGAGCTGAGCCCCGCACCGCCCGGTCAGCACCCCGGTGGGGGAGCGGCTCCAGCCTGTGCCTCCTGGAGACAGGCCGGCTCTTGTTATGGGGGAACATTTGGCCATGTCAGCAGATCCCTCGAGGGGAGCTTACCAGAAAGAGCTTGCTGATGCTGAGCCCTCACCTCGGGGACGGTTGACCATCAGGGCCGAGAGCAAAGAGAAGCTTCAGGCACGAGCCTTGTGCTCTGCCGGAGACGTCTGCCCTGCTGCCAGGCCAGGGAGGCGCAGCCCAGTGGGTCGTCGCGGCACCCCTGTGCCGCCGCGGCGGAGAGGCTGCTGCGCCCCCCATAACGGCCCAGTGCGGTGTCTGCGAGCGAGTGCAGTTCAGGCGCACTTGACTTCCTTGGCACGCGCTGGCGCACTCTGGGCAGTAAGCAGACCTGGGCTGCCAGATGGGAGGGTGGGGGCGCAGGGGACTCGCTTGAAAGCCGGCTCTGCTGGGATGGCCCCACGGAGGTGCCATAGTGCAGCCTGGAGCCTCTTGACATTGGGGGTGACTCCATGACACTGTTGGGGTCCCATCCTGTTTATGGGTGAAGTCCACGGAGGGGATTCAGCTTCAGCGCTTCATCGTGTGTGCCTGGTCCGGTTCAGTGGCCGGGTCCTGCCCTGCTGGGCAACTGGGCTGACCTCATCCTCGAGCCAGTCGCTCCCCGCTGGCAGGAGACTGTACGGGCCCTCGCCACAGAGCAGCCTGACTCAGCACAAAGCGCAAAGCGCCCTGGTGTTGACGAGCTCTGAGATCGCGTCTCCTCCCAGTCGTGTGAGCACCAAGTATCGTAAAAAATCACAGGTCTTAACTAGCTGGCACGGTTTCTTCCCGTTGGATTCTCACGGAGCGCATGGCCAGACGTGGTTGTGGTAATCCGGCACATTCCCAAAGCCAGTACAGCTCGTGGGGACTTAACTGCCGAAGTGCAGCACACCTTGAGAGCCGCTGCCCTGGAGAGGCCGAGGCGGGCATCTGCCTCCCAGCGGCTCCCGCTGCGGCCAGGGGAGTAGAGAGCTGTAGGTTTGGTTTTGTAAGAAACAGAGGCTCATGTTTATTTAAGGTAAAGCTAGAAGCTGGAAGAAAATCATAAATGCTGCTTCATGTTTTATAGCGCTCGAGAAGAATCCGTGATGTGTGTATTTGATCAGAAATCCCTATTTCCGACATTAAAAGCAGCCTTGAAGGTGTAAATGTCAGGAGGGATGGGCATTCCTCCAGGGTCTGAAGCAGCACCCACCCCAGGGGGCGGGGCAAGGCCTGCCCTGTCCCCTCAGGTGGCCCCAGGCGGAATCCTGGCTGACTGGGCCTGGTCAGGTCACATTCAGAGGAGGGCTGAGGCAGTGAGGTCATGGCTCTCCATTTTGGACCCGGTGGCTCTTCTCCGGACACTAACGTCTGTAAGGAACTCTTGGAAGTCAAACAGAAGAACACCGTAGGGAGGAGAAAGCCGAAATGCAGGGAGCCCTGGGGAAAGCGCCGGTGCGCGCCTCTGCTGCCATCAGCTTGGCCAAGACTTGGTGCCTTCTGCGGGCCTGCGCAGCGCCCACGGGCTGGGGTGGTCACTGCCCTGTCGGGAGACGGACCGCTGTTCTCCAAAGACACCGGGCCAGGGAGGGCTCGGGCCTGGGCACAGTCCAGAGAGGGCAGCGCGCGGGAGGCTTCATGGAAGTAAAATTTAAAATCAGAACGTCAGTTCTTAGACAAATACCGCAGAGTGAAGCCGGAGGCCTTCAGCAGCTACCGCGAGGAAAATCCTCGGGGTGGAAAGGGCGCAAGGCCGGGAGAGAGGTGCCCCGAGGGAGACCGGGCGGTGGGTGAAGGTTCCCGCGCCAGCCGGAGTGACCTCGCTCTCACCAGCAGCCTTGGCCGAGGGCAGCACGGCCAGGCGTTGGGAAAGCCCCTCCGAGCTAGGTCCTGTACTCTGCTCAGCCAGCGGGGGACCGGCGGCCTGGGCACCCCGCACGTCAACAGGCGGGGCGTGGCAGCCCCCCGACACCTGCTCCACCAGCCCCTCCATCTCGTCCCCACTCTGCCTGCTTGGGTGATGTGGTGCGTGACCGTGTGTGAACATTTTCAGAGATGTAGAGTCTAAAAAATGTTTCTTTCCAGCCAGCCTGGTAAAGGAAAGTGCTGGAAATTGATCACCAAAACAAAAGAAAACGGGGCCTCCCTGGTGGCCCGAGGGTAAAGTGTCAGTGCTGTGAAGCAATCTGCAGCCACTGCTGCCATCCCCGGCCAGGGAGTGGCCCCCAGGACACAGCAGCCCTCTCCTGTCCCCCGCTGCTCCCTCAGCAGTGGGTTTTGATGGATCAAATCGTGTTACAGCGGCTGCCAACAGCTTCGTGGTGCTATGCTTTAGCCACCAGGGAGGACCCGTAAAAATTTTATTTTATTTTTTAAGATTTATTTATTTATGCATACAGAACTGGGGTTCGAGCAAGAGGTGTGGGGCGGTGAGAGACTTCACCAGGGACAGTGGGGAGAAGAGCGGCAGACTGACGAAGGGCCCTGCGGAGGGGAGCGGCGGGCGGACAGGAGTCTGCACACCGTGCGGTCACCTCCCCGGCGGGGGTCAAGCTGTGCTGCAGGGCTGCGGGTCACTTCCTAGTGCTGCGCTTTAACCCGTTGCGCCACCAGGAGGCCCTCCCCGTGTAAACTCTAGAGCTGGCTTGTCGGGGTCTTCCCAGACCACCCGGCGGGCCCGCGCCTCCGGTCGCCGACCTCAGCAGTCTTCCGACTCCGCGTTCAGGACTTGCGCAGACGTGTCGCTTGTGTCCGGGCGTCCGGTGAGGACGCGCGCGGCTGCCTCTCGGTCTGTTTCGGTTCCTCTGGAACACGCGCCGGCCCCTTACCCCGACCTTGCGGCCTGACACCCTCAGTCCTGGTGCCCTCTTGTAGGTTCTCCCGCGTCAGCGCGTGGCGGCGGCGGGTGCAGCTGCGCGCCCCCCTCCCGCCCGCGCGCCCCCTTCTCTTCGTGGCGCATCCGGCACCCGGCCCACGGTCCCAGCACGCCGGCGAACTCTGTGGGCAGGTCACAGGGCCTTCCTCCGTGAACTGCACGACTTCCCGGGCCGGGTCGCTAGCAGTGACTCTCCACAGAGGAGACAGGCGAGGTCAGCACCACGGGCTGCCCTCTGGCCGGTGGCGGCCTGGCGGCGCGGCGAATGCCGGCTCTTCATGGCGGCGGGAGGGCTGGTCCCTTGTGGGCTGTCGAGCCAGCGTCCTTCCCATCAGCCATGATGACAGGCCAGTCTGACCATTATTGAATGTGATATTTGTTCAAAATGAAGCTTCTCGTTTCTGATTCTTAATCATAGCACATTGCACCTCCTGCTAGGGTCTGTCCTCGCCCGGCACCCACGAGAGCCGGCAGATCCGAGCCTGCACCTGTGACTTTAGCAAGGTGCTGGGCAGACAGTAAAAACTTGCTGCAAGAAAATAACTTATGGCTGCCTGGGAAAGAGCAAGCCCCGAGGACGTCCTCACGGGAGGAGCCTCCTTGGCCAGCTCTTTCTTGTTTTCTTTTTAGACTTAAACAACGGTGTTTGGAACCTTCACAGGGAAGGAACAAGGTGGGAGAGGAGTAGGGCCGCCGCACTGCAGGCTCTCACCGGGGGCCGCAGCCACGGCGGGAGCCGTGGGCTCTGACGAGTGAGCGAGCCCACTCGCAGGCCACCGAGGCCCTGAGCCCCGCTGTGGGCTGCCCTGTGCCGTCACTCTGACAGGGACGCGTGTCCCGTCCGCAGGTGACAAGCAGCCGGGCTTTAAGGCGCTGCCATCGGTGCGTTTTGCTGCGCGGCTGTGGCGTGGGCCCTGGGTGGCCTCCCTCGCGCGCCTGGGGAGCTGTTGGCCCTCGCACAGACCAGCAGGCTCACGGCCCCCACTGCAGCCTCAGAACGCGGCGGTGGGCGTACCGGCAGTCGGTACCAGAGGGCCAGCTGGGAGAGGAGCACTGATTCCTGGAGAGAAGGGCGCTTCGACACCAAGCTCGCCCCTTTTCCAGTGACGCAGTCCATGGAATGGTCGAGAAACTCCTGACCTGTTGTGCCTCACTCTGTAGCTGTGACTGTCTCCTGCCTGGCCCAAGTCCCTTTCTGATGAAGGGTCATGTGCAGGCAGGCAGCGCTGGGGAGGCCCACAGCAGCCGCAGCCCCACAGGCTCCCCCTGAGGGAGGCCTCCGGGCCGGACAAGCTGGGCCGTGCAGCCGGTGTGTCTGCCTGCAGCCCGCAGAGGGCCTCGGGGACACACACAGACGGCCTGCTGTAGCGCCTGAATAATTTAGTCTCATATGAAATATTTAAATTTCCTGCCAAAATTTCTAAAGCACTGTCAGGTTCTCTCTCCTAGTCAGTGAAAAAGCTCATAAGCCTGGACTTGGGAGACACTGAAGCGTGGGGGACATCACAGAAGCAGCCCATCTTCCTTGGGGACCCCGCTCCCTTGAATGATGGGTCTCTGCCTCGCCCCCGCTGGTGTCAGCCCTGCCCAGACGCCGGCCGGGGCCTCTGGAGTGTTGTCCCTGCTCGGGCAGTGCCGCCGTGGCCGGAGCGGGGCCCGTCTTCCTCGACACGGGGCAGGGTGGGGCTGCCCGCGGAGCAGCTCGATGCCCGCGTCCCAGCGGGCGCGAGGTCGGGCCGGGCTCCCGGGCAGCGGGCCCGGGGCAGGGCCGGCGAGACAGCCGAGCAGCTCGGACCGTGGCCTTCACTGCCAGGCAGGCGGCGCGTCCTCCCTCTTCTTCCTCCGTGTGGTGGCGACACGCAGAGCCCCTCTGCTCTGCGACCCCAGAGTGACTGCTTATGCGACCCGGGAGTCATGTATGTCGGCTGGGGCCTGTGGGGGCTTTTCCTGCCCCCTCTTGAATCACGGGGTGCAAGTTGGTCTAACAGCTCACGAGTCTGATTTGAAGGATGAACATTGGCTGTGATTCCTTGGTGGGAAAGGGTGGTGCACAGCCTTCCTCGCTGCGCACCTCCGGGGCGGCGGCCTGGCTCCCTCACACGGCTGGGGCTGGTGGCCCCCGGGGCGTCTCCGCGTCAGCGCAGCGCACCCAGGGCCCGTGTGGACACAAGCTTCTGTCCCAGCGTCAGTCAGACATCGTGTTGTCCCCCAGAACAGCCACTGCTGGTGTACCGGCTGTGGGCAACGGCCTCGTTGAAGTGACAGCGTCGCCGGGTGCTTGTCGGCAGTGGCCGGCCGCCCCCGCTGAAGTAGCGCTGGCGGCGGTCTGACCCGCGTCTCTCCTGCAGGCCTCCTCGGAGGAGCTGAAAGCGGCCTACCGCAGGCTGTGCATGCTGTACCACCCCGACAAGCACAGAGACCCCGAGCTCAAGTCACAGGCGGAGCGACTGTTTAACCTCGTCCACCAGGCTTATGAAGGTCAGTGGGGGCCGGGCTCGGGGACGCCGGGGCAGAGGGCCCGAGAGCGAGTGCGAGTGCTCGGCGGCACGTGCGAAGGGCGGTCAGCTCCGTGCTTGCTCTGGCAGAGTGCTGCTTTGCTTTGGAAACAGGCTGCGTTCAGTGGGCAGGAGGCCAGAGTCCACGCGGAGTGGTCGAGCGAGGCCGGGGCCGCCGGCCGGCTTCCTGCCCCCGAGCCCGTCGAGGTGGACCGCAGCCAGCTCTTCCTCGTGAGGAGAGACGAGGACAGCGTGTCACGGAAAGTCACTGTGTGGCGCCGTAGCATTCAGTGCAAGGGAATCCCTAATGAAGGAGAGAAAGTGATGTCAGGAGAACGCTGGGCCAGCGTGAGCAGGTCAGGCCTCTGCACTCACCTCTGACCGTGCAGAAGGGAAGGCGGTGATAGAGTCGCTGCTAAAAGCACCACCAGGTGGTTCCCCTTGGCAGCGTCGGGAAGTCCTGGCAGCAGGGCTGGTGGCCACACGGTGCTGTGCCTGCACCTGATGCCCGGCTCCCCCGCTTAACGTCGCCCAGGCGAGGTCATCTAGCTCCCGCGCACTTCACCCGTCCTTGAAGTCACCTGTCCGCGCCGTCAGATGAGCTGCTCGCCCCGTGCCGCCCGCAGCCTGGCTCAGCGTGACGGCTCGGGATGGGCAGCGCGTGTCCCTCTCGGGGAGCACAAAAGCACGTGCTGTGTGTCACGTCGTCACTTTGCCCAGGTTCGCAGTCGCGCCGAGCAGGTGGCGGCCTGCTGCCCCCACCACTCCCAGCCGCTGCTCCGGCAGCCTGGCCGGAGGCCCGTCTCGATTGCTGTCGCTGCTACGTGGGTGTCCGAGCCGCCAGCAGCGTGCCGCCGTCCGCCGGTGTGGGGGAGCTGAGAGAAAACTAGCAGAGCCAGAGCAAGCACCTGGCCTCGAGCCTCGAGGCCGACGAGGGGCGGGACTGGATGAGCCTGTTCCCTGCCAGGGCGCGCTGGGCCGCTGGCACCCGGGCCTGCAGTGGTCAGCCCGCGCCCTTCTTTCTTCCCTTTCACTGGAGTGTGCAGGGATCTCTGGCGTCTTTTTTTAGTTAACCCTACAAACACGTGAGGAGCCTCTGGGTAGAAAAGATTCAACGTTCTTAAATAGAGGGGCGGTCGGCAGTCAGTTCTACCCAAGTGTAAGTCCCCCCAGTGTCCTCGGAACAGCCCCGCCCTCGTCGAACAATCCGTTGCCGACGTGACACGACCGACACCGTGGGGCAGGGTCTGCCTTCCAGAGCGGGGTGCGGGTAGAGGCGAGCCGGCCTCCGGGTACAGGCTGTCCCAGGAGCCTGCAGCTCCCAAGAGTACGGCCTGCTGTCGTGTTTTCCTTACATGTTGGCGGCCGAGGTTCACTCCTGACCGCGGCACTCTGCACGAGGCGGGACTCGCCCCGCTCTCCTGGCCCAGCTGCCTGTGGTGGTGCGGGACGGGGCGCCCCCGAGGGACCCCCAACTGCCACCTTTGTGCCCGCACGAAGCCCAGGAAGGAACAGTGTTGACGGGGCTGGGCCGAGGCCCCGTGCACCGCCGGTGGGGTGAGAAGGGGCGCGGCCTTGTGGGAAACAGCGCGCTGGTTCCTCACGAGCTGCAGCTGCCAGGCGTGCAGGCACACGCGTTCACGGCAGCCGCGCTGCGGAAGCCGCCTCGGTGTCCTGGACGGAGAAGGTGTGGCGTGCACACCGGGCAGAGCTCCTTAGCTTAAAAATGGAGGCAGAGCTGACCCTTCCTGGAGTCCTTACGCCGAGGGAAACCCTCCAGCCCAGGGTGGCAGTGGCGGTGCAGCTCCGCTCACGGAGGCTGTCCAGAGCAGTCACCCTCGTCAGAGGCAAAGGAAAAGGAGAGAGACTAGCCCGGACACCAGAAATGTCAAGTTTCTCACCTACAGTCACCTCTGAACGTGTCTTATGCTGAGCCCAAGAGCAGTGAAGAGCAGGGGTGGAGGGCTTTTCTGGGGAGGCCGTGTTTGAGGGGGCTTAGCAGAGGGCTGACCTGTGGCGGTGTTGCCGGGATGACCGGCTGTAAATGTGTCTGGTTTTTAATTTGCAGTGCTTAGTGACCCCCAAACCAGGGCCATCTATGACATCTACGGGAAGAGAGGCCTGGAGATGGAAGGCTGGGAGGTAAGAAGCTCTGCGTCCTCTGTCCCAGTCACGGATGGCTGCAGGACACCCCACCTGCGCCCCACAGCCGTGTGATGACTTGGGGGGGGCGGGGGGTGGATGTTCCCTCTCTTCCCCGCTGGGCCTCTGGCTGGGCTCGAGTCCAGACCTGCCTCTAACCCTGGACGCAGCGAGTCAGACACGGGTCGTTGGCGTGCCCAGCCCAAGGGGGTGACAGGAGAGTGTCTGAGGGTGGGGTTCTCTCAGCACGTTCCCCTCTGTTCCGAGCCCCTCCACCAGAGACCGTGCGTGAGGGCCAGGACGTGCCTTTGCTCATGTGGCCTGTGCACGGCCGGGAGCAGAGAAAGCTGAGGAGCTGGCAGAGGTGGCGGCCGCGACGGGGCGGCGATGAGCCGGACAGCAGAGAGCAGGATCGTGGCCCCGGGCTGTCACTGGGGTGCAGCCTTCGTGCCACGGGCAGGTCGCCACCCCTCATTATCTGAAAGATGAGAACGCTGCAGGTGAAAGGGGGCGTGAGAATTAGTCGTGAGCTTGCTTTGAGGCCGTGTGTGTGTCGGCCGTAGCTTTCCTGAAGAGATGCAGTTTCACGCCCAAGAAATGTAGGTGGCTGTGGCTGGGTGGACGGCGGCCTCTCAGCGGCAGACCCTTGGCGCTGTCGGCACTGACTCTCGAGCCTGTCCCTGCCCAGTCCGGTGTGGACCCCACAGTGGCCTTCCTGTGCCGCGTGGTGGGGCAGCCGTCTGCCTCGCCGCCTGGCAGCCGGTCCGGGCTGCGCCCGGAGAGCCGAGTCTGGCGCCCACAACGGGTGCAGCCGCCGCTCCCAGCCTGGGAGGCCTCGCAGAAGAGCCAGCTTCTGTACCCTGAAAACCCAGGCGGCCTGGCTGCCCGGGGCAGCCTCGGGGACCCCAGCACTGCCCGGCTTCTGCGCCTGTCCACGCCCCAAGGGGCTCCCGGCCTGGCAGGCGCTTGCTTCCGGCCTCTGCTTCATGGAAGTAGCTTCCCGGCAGCTCGTGGCTGTTTCACCCTGAGAGAACAGTCACATGGCCCCTCTGGCTGCAGCCGCACACTGAAGCTCCCTCTGGAGGGACTCTGGGTCTTGGCAACCTACAGAGCTCAGAGTTCTGCTCTGAAGGGACTTAAAAGGTTAACCGGTGGGCCCTCCCTGGTGGCGCAGTGGGTTAAAGCACAGCACTACGAAGCTTAAGCCACTTCCTCATGAGTTCGATTCCTGCCTTCCCCGGAGGAGTCCACATGGTGAGGCAGACCTCTCCTGACCCGCCCGCTGCTCCCCTCAGCAGTGTACTTCGTCGATCTGCCTGTTCTGCTCCCCACTCTGTCTCTGGTGAATCCTCTCACCCTCCACATCTCTGGCCTGTACCCCAGTTCTATATGAATAAATAAATAAATCTTTAAAAAAAAAAAAAAAAAAAGGTTAACCGGCATTGGAGGCCCTGCAAACCAGCACCTCAGGAATCGTGTCTAGCACGGGCCTGCAGCTCAGAGTAGGTGGCTGCCCAAGGGTCAGCACTTCGGCCCTCCCTCCCCTGCTCCTAGTGGCCCAGCCCACCCCAGAGCACTCGGCCCTTGAGAAACGCTCCCCTCAGGCCCCGGCGCCGGCCTCATGCAGAGTCGCTGCACAGTCACCGGCCGTGGCCAGGTGAGCCGTGGGCCCACCAAGCAGGACTTCAGGAGGCACCGACGCGTTTTAAAGTAGTTTGAGCCCCTTTTTCTTGCTCTCTCTGATGTCCAAGGTCAGACCTAATGGTCCACAGCTCAGAGCGATGAAAAGCGCCTTTGTTTTTATTTTCTCTTAAGGAGAAAAGTTGATAGGAGACGGAAAGGATTGTGGGAGCTCGGAGAAGCAGGCCGCAGGCGGGGGCGAGACACTGCACGGACACAGCAGCTCGCCATCGGCTCGTTCGCTCGGGTCTGGGCGACTGCGGTGCCGCTGCTCTGAAACCGCCTTTCAGAGAGCCACGCTCCTCGTCGTGACCGCCGTTTCGTGTTGGGTTGTTAGAGGAGAAAGTGGATCTGTGTGGGTGTGGCTGCTCGCTTGGGGCTGGGGCTTTTCGAGAGTTCTGGAAGGTCTTCCTTCTGTTTCTTGAAAGCAGGAGTGTCTTGGAGACTTGGTGCTTGTGTTTTTCTTGTTAATACACGGCTGAAGAATAAGATCAGTTTGATAGAAGATAATGACAAGGTTATACGATGAAGCCTATGCGGTGACTCCTGCCTGCTGCCCGTGTGTCGCACCCAGTGACAGGCAGGGCCGTGTCACAAATCAGCCGTCAGCCGTGAGGCGGAGCAGCGCGGAGTTCAGGGACCTGAACTTCTCACTGCCCGTCCCTCGACCAGTTATGACACTGTCCTGTACACATGCACACTTTACGTAATTTTTTAAGCACCCCCACAGCCTTTTCGCACATCACCTGCCTTTTCAGATGTCCTCTGAGCAGCCTCAGGCGCCCACTCTGTTCCTCACGGGCCACCCGTCCCGCGGGCCACTGCTCCTGCCTCGGAGATGACACCCACGTGTCTTCCCTTCGCGAGTTGCTAAGGAAGACACGTTCCTGGTGTCGTCAAGATTTGACCCTGCTGCGCCTCCCGAGCACAGAGGGGTCTGCCGCTGGCTGCCGAGTCTCCGTGTGCTAAAGTGGAGCGGGCATCACGTCACGCGGGCAGAGAGCTCATGTCCTCAAACGCCTGCCGGCCTCCTCCCGGAGCCCGAGAGGCTGAGAGGGCCCTGGGGTCGCCCGGGCCCACAGGGAGGCAGCTGTGCCGACACCCACACCACTTGGGGACAGCTCTGCCTTCGTCTTGATACTTCGCTCGTTGGGAATTTAAACTGGGACTTTTTAAGATTTCTGCAGCCTCAGAGATGTCGCTAAAATGAAGAAAATAGTGCTCAAGTTTCCGGAGCCTGGGGAAGCAGGGCCTTGGGCTGGTGCCGGCGGGGGGCCACGTCGACCGGCTGCGCGCCTGCCCGGCCGGCTGTCTGGGACTGGGGCCAAGGGAGGGCGGGACCGGGCAGGCACCAGGAGATAGCGGCCCATGGGTGCCTCCCTTCCTGGGCCTCACGGTCTCCGTTCTGCCCACAGGTTGTGGAAAGGCGGAGAACACCTGCCGAAATCAGGGAAGAGTTTGAGCGGCTGCAGAGAGAGCGGGAAGAGAGGAGGCTGCAGCAGCGAACCAATCCCAAGGTAGGCCTGGCCCTGACGAGGCCACCCGGCTTTATCCCGAGGCAGGTCTGAGCTCGGTGCCGGGGGACTTTTTGCAGCAGTGAGATACAAGATCGGGGGGGACACACTTTACCTCAGCATGGCCTCTTTCTGGAAAGCAGCTCCCTGCACGCTGCCAGCTAAGCTGTGCTGACCCTGGGAGGAGAGAGAGGAGCCACGCCGGCTGGCCGGGGAAGCGCACGCGCCTCAAGCCCTGTGCGAGGCCGCCTGCAGTGGGGGTGGGGGGTGAGCCGTGTCAGCAAGGACACGCAGGCCACGGAAGGCATGGGGCCAGCAGGTGACCAGTCGTGGCGTCACCCCGCACAGGCTGTGGCCCTCCCGAAGGCTGGGGGCCTGACCCCCTTGACTGGCTGAGTTCCCGCGCAGCTGGGGCTGTGATTCAGTGACGCTCCGCGGCCTGAGTCTTAATGGAGAGAAATGCTCTCCCTTCCGAATGTTTTCTTGCTGAAATAGGTATTTGGACCTGGGTGTTTTCACAGGGATCCTTCCTTTTGGGGCCTCCGGAGTAGTTCTTAAATTGTCCTTTTTAAGTCGTCTTTATTTATGGTCTTTTGATGCTGAGTTCGGTGAGCTCAGATGCCGCAGGCGAGCCTGTGGTTGCCTTCGCTTCCCAGTTGTGTGTCGCCGAATGACGATCCGCCCAGGACCTCACGGTAACTGAAATGTCCCAAGATGCCACTGGGGGTTTCAGAATGAAATCCACTGGGTTCTCTTTACTCTCTGGGTTGTTTTCCCTCCTCGAGAGCTCGACGCCAGGTCTCCTTGGCCGCACGCTGTGGGGACGCGACCGTCACCGTGGTGGCGCTTCACCTCTTGCCCCTGCGAGGGCCCGAGGCCGATTCTTGTTCCGTTGCGCTTAGCGCTCTGGGCGGGCAGCTCGTCAGCTTTCTGAGAATGGAGGCTAAGGGCACCCCAGGGGCCCAGACCTGCCTGTGTTAAAACTCTTACTGATGGTGATCTAGGGTTCAGCTCGGGCTGTCAGGGCCCGAGTCCAACCCCCAGCCCGGGAGACACCCCAGGGC